CAGCCTGAACAGCATAATAAAACCCTATCTCTACAAAAAATTTAAAAATTAGCCAAGTGGGTGGCATGTGTCTGTGGTCCCAACCACTTGGGTGGCTGAGGCAGGAGGACTGCTTAAGCCTAGGAGTTTGGAGTTGCAATGAGCTATGATGATGACACTGCACTCTAGCCCAGGCAACAGAGCAAGACCCTGTCTCCAACAACAACAACAAAATCTTTACCATGGTCTCCAAGGACCTTCATGATTGGTCTTTGTCTACTTCTCTGACTTCATCTTCTGCTCCTCTCTCACTCAGTCTAGTGACATTTGCATCTTGCTTTTTCTTGGAAACTTCAGGTTTGTTCCTGCAGAGGGGTTTTACACTTGCTGCTCCCTTTGCCTGGAATGCTCTGCCCAAGCTATTTGCACAGCTGTTTGGTCATTAAGTTTTTTTTTGTTTTTTTTTTTTGAGACAGAGTCTCGCTTTGCTGCCCAGGCTAGAGTGAGTGCTGTGGCGTCAGCCTAGCTCACAGCAACCTCAAACTCCTGGGCTCAAGGGATCCTACTGCCTCAGCCTCCCGAGTAGCGGGGACTACAGGCATGTGCCACCATGCCCGGCTAATTTTTTGTATATATATCAGTTGGCCAATTAATTTCTTTCTATTTATGTTAGAGACGGGGTCTTGCTCTTGCTCAGGCTAGTTTTGAACTCCTGAGCTCAAGCAATCTGCCCGCCTCGGCCTCCCAGAGTGCTAGGATTACAGGTGGTCATTAAGTTTTAGCTCGAATGTCACCTCCTCTGAAAAATATTCTCTGATGACCATATCTAAAGTAGCCCCATTCCTTAGGAGGCTGAGAATCCCTTGAGTCCAGGACTTTGAGGCTGCAGTGAACTATGATTGTGCCACCACACTCCAGCTTGGGCAACAGAGTGAAAGCTTATCTTAAAAAAAAAAAAAAGTAGCCCTACTCCAGTTACTTTTTATCCTAGCACCCTGTTTTACTTTCTTCTTAACATTTTCTGAATTTCTTTAATACATTTAAATGTCCAATTTGGTTTAAAACATATTTGAATATAATGGTTAGGATTCCTTTAGTATATGTTATAATCTCTTTTGGAAAGAAATACTGAGTCATCTCATGTAGCTGCCCTCTCCCTCTGCAGGTGTCCCTAAAATTGTGTCTGAATGCGTGAGGCATCATGGAACTGGTGAAGCTGCAGAACTTGGATCCATTTGGTGTCCCTTTATTATTCCCTAACTTCACAGGATGCTCTGCAACCTGTTGATCAGCCAGTGGCATGTTTCATAGCCTGGCTTCTCTAAGCTTGCTCAGAACCCAAGACAAACCACAGCTCTTCCTGAGGTCTGGCTGTTACTACTTTTTGTTTCCAACCCAGTGTAATCTACAGAGCTACTTCCTTCTACACTTGCCAGCCAGTATTCTTGGCTACCTTCCTTATTCTTTCACAGGGTATGTAGGGACTTCTGGATACATTGTATATCATGCAGGAGCTAAGGGCCACTCACTTGCAGAAACTCCTTCCAAGATCCTGTACCCAATTCTGTATATGTAATTTTGTGTTCTTTTTCTTAAAAAAACAAAAACAAAAACAAAAACAAAAAAACCTCCCTCTGTCCTTATCACATACACTTCAAGACCCATAAAACCCGGGTTCACCCCTGGCTAAGAGATACTCCGAACAGCTAAATGCTGGCATTTTCTCTTTTCTCAACCACACTGGGGTATCACTTTCAATCATATGTGTTTGTCTGCTTGTTGGTGTAGGCATAGTCTGCAAGTCATCTTTACTTGGAATTCTAAACAGAAGCAGAGCAAGAATCCTTGCTGCTTTGAAGAGCTGGAATGATATTTCTCAACTCATGCCTCTCTTACCTCTCTCTTCCTTCTACCCTTTCATCAGAAGAGTTGGGCTCATCTTCCACTTCCCTATGCCACAGCCTCATGGCTTAGTTGTCCCAGACAGAAGCAGCAACTCCACTACAGAGTGGGAGAATTCTATGAGATTCTTACTGTGCTGAACTTCATAGATTAAATGGAACTACAGAAATTTAGCAAATTCTTTTCTCTCCATTCAAGCCTGTACTATTCTTTCCTGATTAGGGAAGTATTATAAGTTCCTGGGCTACATTTCAGGCAAAAGTCTATAATGGAATATGACTTAAGAAAATTAAAAGGAATCAGCTTGATACTTGCAAAATATTACCCTCATTATATCCTAGATTTTTTTTTTTTTTTTAGAAAAGTCAGAAACTTGGATTTGTAGGTGAAATATCCCATTTTAAATGCTGGCATAGCATTTAAAAATTTTAGAACAATATAAAATAATAATACTTGTATGGTGCTAGCAACCAAAAGTGTTCTAGGAGATTTAGAGATGTTAACTACTTAATGCTCTTCATAACTCATTTTTCAGATGAGGAAAGTGAAGCAGAGGACAAGTAACTTGACTAAGATCACACAGCTGTATGCGATACAAGCCAAATACATATCTATGGAACAGATTGACCACAGGGCCCCAAATTTACCACTAGCTTATGATATTTCAAATCAGCCAGGAAGAACAGGCTTTGAATTCTGATTTGACCTCTCTGCTGAACCACCATGGACTAGTTTGTGAACACCTCTGTAAAATTATGATTAACTTTGCAGTGTTCACTAAATGTTGGTTTTCTGTTTTCTCATTCTTCCATGTGGATGACTGCACTGATCATTCATGTTATGTTTGCATGTTATCTGAAATGCACAAATCCTGCCTGTTGTTCAAGACCCAACACATTCCCAATGCCTCTGGAAACAATCTGGTGTAGGAGAAGAGTCCTAGGCTGAGGGGTCAAGATGCCTGTTCCAGTTCTGATGATGTTACTAACCCTTTGTACGATCTCAAAAAAGTCACACATTTTCTGGGCCTCCGTGGTTCCATTTTTAAAACGTGGAGTTGGGCTTAATCAGCAGCTTTAAACTGCATTCTGAGAAACTCAGCATTTTTCTAATTGTGGAGGGGGCATGAAAGAAGAGAGAGGGCAAGGATGAGGCTGGGTGAGAAGCCTTGTGTTTCCCCATTTCCACTTCAAATTTAGCAGCTCCATTTTAAGCCATCAGATTTTATTAGAAAGGAGTATTCCACTGCCAATAAAACACTGGAAACCACTAGAACTTTTATATAGCCACATTCCCTGAAACTATCTTTTCTTTTTCTTTTTCTTTTTTTTTTTTTTTTGAGACAGAGTCTCACTTTGTTGCCCAGGCTAGAGTGAGTGCCATGGCGTCAGCCTACCTCACAGCAACCTCAAACTCCTGAGCTCAAGCAATCCTTCTGCCTCAGCCTCCTGAGTAGCTGGGACTACAGGCATGCGCCACCATACCCGGCTAACTTTGTGTGTGTGTGTATATATATATATTTTTTTAGTTGGTCAATTAGTTTCTTTCTATTTTTAGTAGAGACGGGGTCTCACTCAGGCTGGTTTTGAACTCCTGACCTTGAGCAATCCGCCCGCCTCGGCCTCCCAGAGTGCTAGGATTACAGGCGTGAGCCACCTCGCCCGGCCTAAAACTATCTTTTCTTGGCTCCTCTTTTATTTCTTTCTTGTCCTGGACATAGGACTAAAGAGAACATGTTTTAAAAATTCTGGCTGAAATGACTATATTTCTTTGTCCTTTTCTCCTCTGTCCTATCCAGGAGTGAAATGAATGATAATAAGCATAAGGAAGGACCAGCATGGAAACTTCCAGCAATTTCACAGTTTTCAGCAAAATGTCATAGATTAGGAAAATTCTGAGTTTCAAAACAGCTACCAAGTGACACACAGAAGTTACATCTTATCATCCTGTGATTTTAGGAGTTGCTCATTCCTGTTTGAATATGTCTTGTCATGGGGAATGACCTTCAGGAGGCAACTTCTTTGTATTTCTTACTACATGTCTCCCCATTATCCCTAAGCTATCATTATAAACTCCATTAAGGCAATTTTTCTCCACCCGAGGCTTGGGAGACTAGAATGAACAGAAGAGGAATGAATGAAGCCCTCATTCTTCTCAGCCATCTTCTTCTTAGGACCCAATTTAGGTTTCAGGGCACGACAGACCGAAATCTACTTTCTGGTTTTCTGCTTAGATAGTAAGATGCTCATCTTGTAAGTCAGATTCTCAAGCTTCTTCAATGGAGGTGAATGAGGTCACAGACATCATCTGCAAATCATCAAATCTTCACAGGAGAATTGCAATATTCTTGAACTATCATGGAATTTTCATTTTTAATCTTCTAGGGATACCAGATTAAAACGAATTTTTCTCTTGCCTTGAAGATAGGTTGGTGCATTGAAAAGCCTGGAGGACTGTGACTCAAAATCTTGATTCTAGTTCCACACTGGCCACTAAGCACTTTGGAGTAAATTGCTTTCCATGATCAAGCTGCAATTTTACCATTGGGAACATTGGAGTAAATGGTTCTCTAAGATCCTTTCCCATTTTGATATTCTAAGGACAAATTACTACTGAGGAAATAATCTCTAGCTGTTGCTTCAGTCTTCATAATCATGAAAGGATTTGATTTTGAGGTTAGGTTATAGGAGTTGGCCCTTGATATTCTACGCCCTTTGCTTCTGATCAAGCGGTCGAAAGGCAGGAAAGTTGGTTTTCCTTAAGATGACTGTCTTGTTCCCTCATTGGTTGGGATTCTTCATGTTCAGAGGTCTACTGAGAACTTCAGCTCACCACCACTGTCCCTTTTCAAAGGTATCTCTATAGTCAGGTGTAAGATGGTGATGTGGACCCCTCACTGACATTTCACCCAATTCTCCAGGTTGTCTTTTCACTAATTTCTTTCATTGCTCCTCCATCACTGCGTCATGGTCCCTTTAAGGGAGCGGCCATAGTTGAGTAGTGGGAGCAGCTGCTGGCAGCAAAGAGACTTGCAGGATTTGGCCTACCCTGGGCCACTTACCGCGCACGCTCAGGACCGGGGGCTTGGTGGGAAAGGAAGGAGGGACTTAAGGTGCGCCTGCGCACCAGGGGCGCGCGCAAGGGGCTGGTTTGGTGATCCCTTTAAGAAACCGCAGGCGGAGGAATTTCTCTGAGAGAAAATAATCCTACTCACGGGGCCCCTTGGAGGCCATTAACCCCCCGAGTCCCGGCCCCCCTTTTTCTCGGGCAGGCCCTACCGCCCACGCGCGCACTGGTGGGCTCTCCGGACCTGCGGCCCGGCGCGCAGTATCCGCCCCCTCCCCACTCTCAGCTCAAGGCCCGGCCGGGTTTGGGGGAGCTGCCGCGAGGCGGCCGTGCCTGCAGTGTGGGCGGGGGCCGGGGGCCCGAGAGGTACCGCCGCCACCGCGCCAGGAGCCGCAGCGGTTCCGAGCGGGGCCCAACATGGCGGAGAGAGAGGTGGAGTCCGGCCCCCGAAAGAGGGTAGGTGAGGTGAGGCAGAACTCGGGCGGCGGGGGGCGGGGCGCGGCCCGGGGCAGGGGCTGGGGCCGGGGCCGGGAAGGGGCCATGCTCTGGCTCGTGCAGGGGTCGCCGAGGCCCGGTTGTGGGCAGGTCTGAGGCAGCCCTGGGTCTGGAGCGCGCTGGCGAGTGGTCTTTCTGCAGGTGGGACAAAGATTTGCTGCTGGTTGGGGGGAGGGGCAGGGGGGTGTTGTTTGCCTTCCCTCCTCCCGGGCCAGCACCAGGGGTGGGTCATGTGGGCCCCGGTGAGGGAGGTGTCAGATTCTTAAGTGCATCTTTAGTAAATCAGAGTCTGGAAGTTTAACTGGAGAGAGGTCAGGTGGGGGTGGTGGTGGCGGGAATAAGTCGTGGAGGGGTCTCATGAGAAATAACCTGGAGGGTTCTTTGGTAACACTGTGGAGAATTCATTTTCCTGCCTCCCTTCCCTTCCCCCTAACCGTTATCAAGACCAAAGTGGAGGTCGTGCTCTTACCTGTGAAGAAGTGGGATCGTTGGCATGTCTTCATTTAGGAGAAAGATTTTGGCTACTATCAATGTCGTGTTCTAGTCTAGCCTCTTTACTCTCAATTAGGGATGTGGAAGAGTGTGACAAGTTTTGTCATAATGTACTAATCAACCTGCAGAGGTGAAGCCAGGAGGAGTTGTTGAATACCTTTTAAAGTTTGTCTTGAAACTTTTAAATTTAATTCTGAATGATTTTTTTTTTCAGATGGCGAACAATACTGTACTATTGATATTTTTCAGACTTTTATTTTACTTCTGGTCCCCTTAGCGTGATAAGCAGTAAGTTTTCTTTCAGGAATCTTCGTTTTGGAAATGGTCTCAAATGATCAATTGTGTGAGACCATTGGGGTAAAAAATTCCTACTTTATTGGGAACGCCTTTTCAATTTAGCATAAAATTATCAGCCTCCTAATGATGCTACAGCTAACATTTTGAGTGCTGCTTGTGTGCTTAGCACTGTGCATAGTGCTTGATGTGAAAAAAATTAACCTCATAGTAACTCTCTGGAAAGCCAGTTTGCAGATGAGGAAATGTAGGTGTAGAGGGCTTGAGTAAGATCAGGTGGCTAGTTAAGAGATTGAGGTAGGATTTAAATCCTGGTTTGTCCCAACTGTAGTGCCTGTGTTGGATGCCACATAGGAGTTTCTTTAATCTATGTTTCTGTACTTCAAAGCTTAAAATGTAAATAACCAAACGGGTGTCAGATATTATTTTTTCCAACAATTTATTAAGAAAATATTTTCAACTATCCAACAACATTAAAAACTTACAAAGGCAGGCCGGGCTCCATGGCTCACATCTGTAGTCCTAGTGCTCTGGGAGGATGAGGCTGGAAGATGGCTTGAGCTTAGGAATTCAAGACCAGCCTAAGCAAGAGTGAGACCTCGTCTCCCCTAAGAATAGGAACATTAGTCGTACATGGTGGCACGTGCCTATAGTCTTAGCTGCTGTAGAGGCTGAGGCAGGAGGATGGCTTGAGCCCAGGAGTTTGAGGCTGCAGTGAGCTGTGATGACCCCACTGCACTCTACCCAGGGCAATAGAGTAAGACACTGTCTTAAAAAACAAACAATCTTACAGAGAGCTTCCATATACCCAACCACCTAGATTCTGCCATTAACATTGTGCTGTACTCATTTTATCATGTATTTATCTGTCTATCCCTGTGTCCATTTATCATTCACCTTATTTTAATGCATTTCATTGTATTTTGAGCAATTAAAATTTAATGTATATAGGCCGGGCGTAGTGGCTCACGCTTGTAATCCTAGCTCTCTGGGAGGCCGAGGCGGGCGGATTGCTCTAGGTCAGGAGTTCGAAACCAGCCTGAGCAAGAGCGAGACCCCGTCCTACTATAAATAGAAAGAAATTAATTGGCCAACTAATATATATATATATATATATATATAAAATTAGCCGGGCATGGTGGCGCATGCCTGTAGTCCCAGCTACTTGGGAGGCTGAGGCAGAAGGATTGCTTGAGCCAGGAGATTGAGGTTGCTGTGAGCTAGGCTGACACCATGGCACTCACTCTAGCCTAGGCAACAAAGCGAGACTCTGTCTCAAAAAAAAAAAATTAATGTATATAGTCTTACAAAATGTAGGATTCTCGTATAATAATTAGTCATAGAGCAAGTTAAGCTGTATTGTGGTATGTCTAAATAGTTACTTTAGCATGCATATTGGCTATGGAGTGCATGTGTTTTGAAATTTTAAATTGTTCTTCAAGTTTTGATCTGTTTTAAACTGGACCCTTCTTTTGCTTGAGTGAAGGCATATGGCACGTGGTCAACCAATAAATATATATAGGGTAAATTACTTTAGATGTATAATCTTAATTTAGGGAGATGTCTGCATTTAGTTTCTACTAATGCTGTCATTATAACATAGGATATGCTAGAATGTTCTAGAAATCATCTGGGTCCTGCTAAGATAGGATGTTCTAGAAAACATCTGTGTCCTGCTAAGATAGGCTGTTCTAGAACATTTTAGAAAACATCTGTGCATTTTGGCAACAAATTCAACTAGATTTTAAATAGACCTTTCTGTTGTACAATTAAAAGGTGTCACACTGGTAAGCAGTCAACTTGGTTTTTAACAAAATGTAACATATGTAGCACTTGTATAGGTTTTCCCATTGTATTACCTGTTTCATTGTGGATGAGGATTACATTCAGTATCTTTTAGATCCATAATTATTTTGTTCTGATATTTGGTTGGAATGTTCAGTAGGATTGTCTTAAATGGTACAAGTACCTTTTTTACCCACTTTTTGTGTGTGTGTGCCAGACTCCATGTGGATTCCATATGTGTGCTTCAAGCACATTTGTGGGGACTGTGTTGTACAATTTCTTTTTAAATAATTTGACTCTTTGCCTGGAGGCAGTTAAAACATACTATCCACATAGACCTAGATAATAACTTTAGGTTATTTAATTTGAAATTGTATTCATGACATGGTATTGTATTTATGATGCTTATTGCCTTTGACCTTTATAATCATAAGTCAAAAAAGTTGATCACTTATGCTATTTGATAAGCAATATACTGAGAATTGTGCTATGGTTCTTATGGACATTTAAGATAATATATATTGGCTCTTCTGCTAGATTATGTACTCCTTTAAGGTAGGATACATTTTGTTGATTTCTGCAACTCCCAACAACTGTGACCTCCACATAATAGGAACTCAAAAGACTTACTGATTTTTAATAAGTTTACCTATTATAGCAGGGGCTCTGTGGCTTGGGTGCCAAGCTCTGTGCTTTGTAATTTTGGGGGCTTCTGTAAGTCTATACTATCCTTTATTCCACTAAGTTATCTCCTGTGGGTCCAGATTTTGGGTTCTTCTGATTGTTGTGGATTATGGTTAGATGGGAGAGTGACTGCATTTTAAGACCATTGGGTTAACAACCTTAAATTCTGTAAGGTCTTGTCTGATGATTTTCATGCTTGTAGGCAGTTGGGATAATTATATTCAGACTATACTTAAATGCCAGTCTCTCAATTTGTCAACATGGGGGAACTGAGTATGTGGGTGGACCAGCACTATATCCATCTATCATCTCTGGTATAGAGAGAACCAAGTTCATATCCTAGTGCCCATGTATGAAGGCCAGCATTATACACACATACATACACATACACTTTAAAGATATTTTTGGGGTATTATGGATTTTTTTAAGATTGTAAAAGATTTTTTTTTTTTTTTTTTTTTTTGAGACAGAGTCTCACTCCATTGCTTGGACTAGGGTGCCATGGCATCAGGCTAACTCACAGCAGCCTCAAAGTCCTGGGCTCAAGCAATCCTTCTGCCTTAGTTTCCCAAGTAGCTAGGACTACAGGCATGTGCCACCATGCTTGGCTTATTTTTTCTATATATTTTTAGTTGGCCAATTAATTTCTTTCTGTTTTTAGTAGAGACAGGTCTTACTCTTGTTCAGGCTGGTCTAAAACTCCTCCTGACCTTGATCCATCCTCCCACCTTGGCCTCCTAGAGTGCTAGGATTACAGTCGTGAGCCACCATGCCCAGCCTTTTAGCCTGCTTTCTTGAACACACTTTTCTAATACTGAATTTCCTAATTTTAGTATCCTTTGCAACCTGGATAATCTAAGAACCTCCCAGTTAATCAAGAGTTGTTTCCTTTTAAAAGTTCCTTTCTTGATTTTCTGTGTCCCCTTACGTTTTACTGTAAACAGCAAGGAGAAACCAAGGTGTACCTTAAAACTTTGGTTGGAAATCTCCCAGGCTAAATATCCAAGTTCATTGCTTCCAACTTCTGTTTTCTACCCAACAGTAGAAAACAATTCAGCCAAGTTTTCTGCCATTATGAGAAGGATCACCTTTCTTCCAGTTCCAAGTCACATATTCTTCATTTTTTTCCTGAAACATCAACAGAAGGATCCTTAACCAGAATGTTGGTATGTACCAGAACGTTCCGATGAGCATTCATGATGTATATTCTATTTGTGGTCCTGTAAGTGTATTTTCTGAGACTGTTGAAGCTTTGTCTTATTTGCTCATCATATCCTTCTGAACCCTTACTGGAATCGCCTTTGCCATTCGTATTTCTACCAACCATGTCTTCAAGGCAATCTATATTTTTTTTTATTATGCCTCTCAAAACTATTCTGGCCTGTTATCCAATTTCAAAGGCACCTTTACATTTTTAGATATTTGTTATATCAGCATACCACTTCTGTGTACCAGAATCTGTATTAGTTTCCTAGGTTTATCATAACAAATTGACATAAACTTGGTAGTTTAAAACTACAGAAATTTATTGTTTCACAGTCTGGAGGCTAAAAGTCCAAAATCAAGATGTCAGCAGGGCCATGCTTTCTTTCCTTCGTTGTCTCTTCAACCCTCGTGTCCCCAGGTGTGATAGTGTTACTCTAGTTTTTGCCTCTTGTCTTCACTTGGCTTTCTTTTCTCTGTGTATCTGTGTTTTCTGTCTTTTCTAAGGACAC